TGATGTTTAAATCATGACTGTATGTTCTGTTAAAGATAAAAACATGTTATTAATACCTTTAGCAACTGTGGAAGCTTTGTCCTTATATAACAAAGGTTCACATGCTGTCCATGAGTCTGTTGCACCAGAAGAGGGACAAGAAAATAACTGTGGTGAAATAACAGGAAAAACTGAGGTAACTTGTTGAATAAAAACTTTTACAGTTTTATATTTTGGGAAAAGTGGCTGCATTCATGAATTGTTGACAGAATATGTGTATTCATTATTGTAGATTAATAATAATTTTTTAGAATTAAAATGCCTTTATTGCTTTTAATCAATGATGTGTCTGAGCTCTGAATCTCAGAGTTCAACAGTAGGCTTCTAGAGCTTCCAACTAATTAGAAAAACTAAGCATAATTACAAGCAGTGATGTAACATTTCACTCTTCTATCTATTTGATTTATTGACATATCAAACACATCTGAAAATCCCCTGCCACCTCTCTCTCTCTAACTTTACAGAGTTGATGGATATATTTTAACCAAGAAAATGAGCAGATTCTCTATATATAATGTTTATTACAGCAAAGGTTTTGGCACCCATAGAATAAGTTTGCTGTAGTTTCTTGAAGTGAAAATTTTGTAATATTGCTCAGAACATCTAATGAAATTTTTTGTGTTCAAGAAGATATGTTTAAAAGCTACATGAATTAATTTTCTTGGAGACCCAAATTTGTGAGATTCGGTGATTCTAAGGCTGTGAGAACAAAATTATATGTAAAAAACATGATAAAAAAAATAGTATTATGAAAGTCACCTTTCACTCGGACTGACTCAGTAACAGGATGGGAAGTCTACTGATAAACCTTTATTAAAAAATAAATCTATATCATCACTGAGACAGAGGTTGATACATTTGACCAACACAGAACTTACTTTTAAAATGTGCTGGTGTAAACAGATTCCTGAAATTCCTTTGCTTATTTTGCAATAAGTGGCTTTGGAATGATTACTAGATATCATACACATGAAGTATAATGTTATTTCTGTAACAATACATAATCTCCAGTCACTGCTAGCTTTTTGGATTCAGTTCTGTCCTCTATATGCATACTTATTAACTTTCCAAACAATAGTGACAGGATGCTAATCCCCAGTATACTGGGGAACAACAAACAGACAAGAATACAAATCTATAGGTGGGTGAGAAACATTTGATACCATCTTTGGCCAAAAGGTCTAACACCACATTGTAGAAATGCTGGTGGGAGGGAAAAGAATGAGAACAGTAGACAAAAGGGGAGGAGAGGAAATAGAAAGATTACAAACAATAGATAGAACCTGTAGTACTCCACTGTGGAATCATAATGGAATCATGATTGGTAGAAGAGGAATGGGATAGAAGAACAGGAAGCAGAAATAATTTATGAGGAAGGGAAACACAACTTGAAAAGAAGGAGCTTGGGAAAGACAGAACACAAAGTAAGTTGAGGAAAAATGTTGCTGCACAACCTCAGGTTTTCTGTTGATGGAGGGTTGTTGCATGCTCATTTGCCTACAGTATGGAAGTGTGATATTGGGTGGGAGCCTCAAGTCTAGTGGTGAGCAAAAATGTTTGCATATTGAGGGCAGCATTGAATCGGAAAAGCTAGATGTAAGTATCTATCAGAAATACATTTTTAGTTTTGGAAAATGTTAACTTTTATTTATCAGTAAATTATTCATTACTGAAAGTGAATCATTTATGAAACTAAATTGATAGGCAATACAGAATGTTTGTACAGAGAACTGCACAAGTAAACTCACTAGATGAGAAGACATGTG